TAAATTTTTTATTTTGAGACACAGTCTTACTAAGTTGTCCAGGCTGAGTTTGAACTTATGATCCTCCTGAATCTGCCTCCCAGGGTGCTAGGATTACAGGCATGCATGGCCACACTTGCTTTGTTTATTAATTCTAAAAGATTCTTGGTGAACTCTCAGGATTTTTTAGGTATAGAATCTTATCATCTGTATTGCAAACAAGTATTTTATGAACACAAGTGGTGAGAGGGGACACCCTGTTTCATTTGTAATTTTAAAGGAAATACTTTCAGTTTTCCCCCATTCAGAATGTTGTTGGGTAGAGGTTTATTGTATATAGGTTTGCTGTACCATATTGAGGTATGATCTTTTGACACCTAGTTTAATCAGGGTTTTTGTCATGAAAGGATGATGAATTTTGCTGAAGATTTCTTCTGCATCTACTGATAGTGTGATTTTTATCCTTGATTCTATTTATGTGGTGTATACACTTGTTGATTTGCATGTATTAAACCAAACTTGCATCCCTAGAATAAACCAAACTTAATCATGATTTGCGATTTTTTTGTTTGTTTTGTTTTGTTTTTTAGGCACCGGGGATCGAACTCGGGTCCTTGAGCGTGTGCAGCAGGCAGCTGATTTGTGATTTTTTTAATGTAAGGTTAAATTCAATTTGCAAGTATTTTATTGAAGATTTTTGTATTTATGTTTTTAAAAGATACTGGGCTGGTGTGTGTGTGTGTGTGTGTGTGTGTGTGTGTGTGCACCTTTATTAGGTTCTGGTAGCAGGGTAATACTGATTTTGTACAATAAATTTTCGCAGCTCTTCCCTTTCTATTTTTTAGATTAATGTGATGAGCATCAATATTAATTCTTAAAAGTCTGATAAAATTCAAGAGTGAATCCATCTGGTCCTGGGATTTTCTTTGTGGGGAGACTTTTTATCACTTTTTATTCAACCACTGCTTGATTTACTTACCTTTTAAAAAAAATCTTCTTGTTTCAGAAAAGAGAACCAACAACAGGAAAATAACATGACAAGGATAAGTCAGTATGTATCAGTTATAACCATCACTGTAAATAGTTTCATTCACCAGAATAAACCTTTCCTCATTTAAGCTGTCTCAGATATTTCATCACAGTAACAGAAAGCTGACGAATGGTGGATCCGTCAGATAATGAGAGGCACACATGGCACCAGGGTGTAGATGGGAAGCAGATGCTGTCCACACTGGGCGAGGAACAGAAGATGAAGTACAGGCCGGGTGAGGGGCAGAGGTCTCCAAATCTGCCGCGAACGCTCTTCCTTTACGGTAGCTTCCTGGTTGGGACTGCACTGGTGCCTCCAGGTTTGTTTGTTTTTTCCGAATAAGGACATTCTTAGCAGCCACATCCATATGTTTATGACTCAGCCAGCATTCGGACCTCAAGGAAATCTACTAAAAGGGAGATCAAGCAAGTAAGAGTGTCCTGGGCACGGTCTCGGTGCGCGATCATGGTGCCCCTCAGTCCAGTCTCTGCAGTGCCCACCACACACTACTCGAGCCCACACAGGAGAGCAGTTGAAACAGCTTCAAACCAGGTCAAACACCCAGCCCCCTTCCCTGGTGTCAAACTGTTATTCTCCTCCCTCCCCTGCTTCAAGCTGCATCGGTTCACGAACTGAGTTCTCTCCATGATTCTGGTCACAAACTGAGTAGGATGAGAACCAAATTGAATTCCTCCCTCAGGTCAACATAACCTAACCATTGGATGGGATTGGATTCACAGGTGGCTGGTGGTCCCTTGGGATGTACTGACCACAGCCGAAGGACTGCATTTCTTGTTTCATTCAATTTAAAGTAACTGAATTTTAAACTTAAAAACTGATCACTTGATTCAGTTATTGGAAAGCTTATGTGTATATGGAGCAACTTCTTCAACTGTAAATGTTATGAAATCTAAATACAGATCTAGTATTTCCAATGAAAGTTTGGTGTCTGAACTTAGATGTACTTTAAGTCTAAAATACATATCAAAATTGGAAGACTTAGTAGGAAAAAAGTGTAAAATATCTCATTTTTTTATACTGACACAGGTTAAAATGGTAATATTTTAAATATATTGTTTAAATAAAATGCATTGTTAAAATCAGTTTGACCATTTATTTACATTTTAGTTACTTATTCATTTTACTATATATTGGAAAGTTATAACTATATATATTTATGGATTATAAAGTGATATTATGATTTTTATACAATGTAAGATGATTAAGTAAAGCTAATAACCCATCCATCACCACCAACAGTTGTCATTTTTTGTGATGGAAACATCCGATATTTGCTCTCTTAGAAATACTAAAATGTATAGCACTCAATTATTAGCTGCTGCAGTTTGCACTCACCAAAACTCCTGTTGAAATGTGGTTGCCAATGTATAGGTGTTGGCAGGTGAGGATTTTGGGGCCGCTGAGGTCTTTCTCAAGAGACGGGGTTGGCTCCTGCAGAGTTGCAGACTCCTCCCGGCACAGCTGGTTCCCATAATGTGCCCAGTTCTTGTCCACTGTCTTTCAGGCCTGCCTGGTTGACTTCCACTCCCCACTGTGAGTTTAGGCAGCAGTGCCCAGAGGCCCAGCAGATGCAGCCACCTAATCTCAGGCCTCCAGCTTCCAGAAAGAAAGCTAAATAGACCTCTTTTCTTTATGAATTAGTCAGTCTTGGGTATTCTGTTACAGCATGGGAAACAAGCTAGCTGTGTTCACCACACTGTGTGACAGATTGTTTTTTTTTAAAAACCTTAAGTTTCTTTCTACTATCAACTGAGACTGTGCCCCTCGGATTACCATCTCCTCTCCACCTCCATTTTCATGTTTGTAAATGTGGCTCCCAGAAATTTCCTAGTTGCTGTTATTTTTCTGTTGGTTTACTACTCCAGACATTGGGATGATACTGCATAGCATCCTGGCCTGAGCTCCATTTATCCCGTGCCCTGTCCCGGGACTAAAAGTTTCCTCCCAACCATTCCCCACACCCTAGCACTGTCCTCACTTCAATGATCCACGCATCGCAGCTCATCCTCCCAGAATTCTCTCCCTGCCCACGCCCACTCTGCCCTTGTCTCCTCCAGAGTGGAGCCTCTGAATAGCCGTTGCCCACACTGACCACACCCTGCATGGAGCCATTGTCAGTCTTTCCCTTGGCACCACTCTGACTTTGCTGAGCCACCCTGGCCCCCGGGACCACATCATCTACGGCCATCCTATCCAGAGCCTGCTCCGCCAACTCCATTCCTCTGCTGGGGCTTCCCTGCTATCCCACCTTCTCATTGTACCACTGACAGTTCTCAGTCTCCTGTGTCTGGAAGCCAATTGAGAGCTGCTGCTGGGAAGAACATCTTAAAAAAGAAAGAAACAGAATTAGGCAGAGAGTGAACTTAATGGAGATGTTGTTTCCACCGAGGCCACCTGTGGAAACTGCAGAGCTGGGTGGTCCTTCAGAGGCCCCTGCGATGGAGTCAAGAAGTTGTGCTTTTGTATCTGTACATCAACCAACTGGTTCTGCCCCCACCGCCAGGAGTGATATGTTAGTGTTCCATCATTGTAAAAACATACCTGAGACAAACAACTTGGAAGGAGCAAAGATCTACTTTGGCTTACGGTTTCCAAGGTTTCAGACCATGGTTGCTTGGTCCTCTTCCCCGGGGCCTGTGGTAGACAGAACACCACAGTGGGAAGCACATGACATAGCAAAGGTGCTGGCCTCATGTTGGCCAGAAAGCAAGAGAGGGGGAAACGCTGGAGGTCCCAGTGCTCCCTTCAAGGGCAGCCCCCAGTGACCTGATGTCCTCCCACTAGGTCCCACTCCTGAGGTTCTGCCCCTCACAGAGCACCCCAGGCTGGTGACCAGGCCTTCAACACTTTCGTCTTTGAGGGATAATCAAGATGCAACCCGTAACAAGCTGCAACCTGGCTTCTACAACTTACCCTAAATAACTCCAAATTTCCATACTAAACTTACTTTCTTGGGCACCCTCCTTCCTGGTTTCCCCCTTTCTCCTGAGTTCTGTGACACTCACTCATCTCTCCTGATAGTTTCCATTTCTTCCACCGCCTCCCTTCCATCCTTAGACCCAGGTCCTGTCTTCTGCCTGTCCTCTCGACCTCCCTCTGCTCACGAGGTCAGCTCAGCTTCTTCCAAGCAACTCCGAAATTCCCATCTACAGCCCTTCTGCTAAGTCTTCCAGAATCACCTGGCCCACCACATTTCCTGGGTACTGGAAGGTGGCCTGCTTTACAAACTCCACTCGCCTCCCAGTGAGCTCAGCTTCACACCACTCCCAGCTCTCCCAGAATGTTTACACCTCACCACAGCCTTCTCCTTGTACAGCACACCCCCGAGCTCTGCAGACTCCTGTCCTCTGACTCTGTGACTTCATCTCACAGGGACAATTGCAATTATCGCTTCTGAAACTTCCACTGCCTTAGTCCATTTTCTGTTGCTATAACAAAACACCTAAGACCAGGTAACTTGCAAAGAAGAGACGTTTATTTGGCTCAGGACTCTGGCAGCTGGCTGGGAAGTCCGAGATTGGGTAGATACCTCTGGGGAGGCCTTGCGTTGTACTCCAACATAGAAGAAAAGTGGAGGGAACGCAATTGCCTTTGAGAGACAGACACAAGGAACCCCTCACTTTACAAGGACCAGCTCTTGGGTGTAATTAATCCAGACTTGGGAGCGCGTGAACTCACTTCTCAGAGAATTAACCCGTTACACTAATCCCTCTGGAAGCACTAATCCCTCCGGAAGTTCCCACCATACCACCTCTCCAGCCCCTTACACTGCGACCACAGCCCAACACCAGCTGTGCAGGGGGCAACCCGTAGCACCTCCTTCCGCCCCCCCTCCCGCCGTGTTAACCCTTTCTCGGCAGCCCTTGGGGTGCCCAGGACACCGGGCTTCAGCAGCCAGCGGCTGTGGTTCTCCGCCTAGGTGACGCCCCAGCCCCCGCGAGCTGGTACGTGGGCAGTCTGGCACCAGAGCGCGGCTGAGGAGGTCCAGGGCGCAGGAGGCGGCGCCGCCAGGGGCACGGGGCCCGCTCCGCTCGCCCTTCTGCTCCAGTGTGGGTCGGCCCTCGGTTCGCCCTGGGCGGGGAGGCCTCGGACGGGGGAGTACAGCGGGGACAGCTCCAACTCCCACCCGCAGCGGCCGGCAGGAAGGCGGGCGGGGCTGCGCTCCCGGGGCGGGAAGTTGGAAGGGGCGCGGCTGGGCGGTGGGCGGCGTCTCCTCCCCGGCGCCCCCAGCCCGCCTGCTCCGCTCCTGCGACCGCCGGCGGTAAGTGAGGGCGCCGCGCGGGGCGGGCGGGAACGCAGGGTGCACGCGAGGGGGCGCGGGGTCCCGGGACTGTGTGCGCGGCGCCGTTCTGCACGCGTGCGGGACAGAGCGGGGCCTTGGTGCAGCCCGGCGAGGCGTGGCGAGTCCCGGCACAGCAGGGTCTGCGAAGCGCTAGCCCCTCGGCCTCCAGCTGAGCTGCCGGGGGGGGGGGGGGGGCTGTCCCTGCACACGCGGCGGGAAGGGGTAGCCGCGCGAGGTTCTGGAACGATCCCCGGAGTGTGCCCGGCGTTCGCGCGTGTGAGTGGGCTGGAAACAGGAAGGGAGGGCTGGCCGGGCGGCGTCCGGACCTGGCTCAGGCTGCTGAGTGTGCGAGGAACATGCCCAGACGCCCGGGCAGCGTCACGCTTGTGGCGCTGGGAAGAGCAGAGCCCTGGAAACTCCTAGGTGCTCTGCAGGGTGGAGGGAGGGGCTGGCGGGAGAGAATGTGGGTACTGTTAGGCAGGGTGGAAAGTCTGTGTCTAATTTGTGTGCATGTGGGTTGTCATAAAAAGCGGTCGTTGGAATCTGGAGACCTGAGTGTGGAGCAGAACTTCGTGGTCTTTACTGGGTCGCACTCTTCCCGCGTCTCACTCAGCTGCTTTTGAGTCCACGTGGGGACGACAGCCATGGTCCTGCCTGTCTCTGGGGCAGCTGGAGACAAAGTGGTAAATGCCCAGGTGCTTCGGGGCAGTGAGGCTCCCAGGCAGGGGGAGCCGCTGGGCACACAGGTGCTCACGGGGGCCTGGGGAGGGGCGGCCTGGGGCAGTTGGCTTGTGGGTAGCAGAGGGAGCCAACTGCATGCTGTGCCTTGTGGCACTCGGACAACAGCAGTGTCTTCAGGAGCCTGTTTGGGACTGGGGTGTGGAAACGCCACAGGCCTGGGTGGGCTCACTAGGTTTGTGCAGATGTCTTCTGCAGCAAAGAAACACTGCTTTGACATTCTCCAAATCGCCCAGGGCACCTTGAGTTTCCAGATGAACCAGGGACTTCATCGCCGTTTTGCTTTTACATCTGGGCCAGCAAATGAGGAGCCAGAAAACGGAGTGGAGAAGCTTGCCAGGCAAAGTCAGGGTGCAGGGTGCGCACAACAGAGTTCTGACTCCGGGGGTTCAGAGCCTCACAGCCAGGGAGGCCTGAGGCCAGGCTGCTGAGACCCATGTGCAGAGAGCACCGATGCCAGAGCACGGTTGGTGGCTTCTCACTCTTGGCTGTCAGATTTCTCTGCATGCAGTAGTTGTTTCATAAGTTTGTGGCAGGAAAGAGCCTGGTCGAGGGACCCTGAAAGCTGAGGTTCAGGTTCTGCCTGGGCTCCCTGCCCACTGTGTGTGGGGAAAGTCTGTTCCTCATTAGTTAGGATCAGGGTGTCTCCAGATGATCGTTCTGATCGAAGCTCACAGACCACTTCTTGCAGCCCTTCCCAGCTCCTCACCTAAAGCAGCAACCTCACCACTGGCTCCCTGCACCTGGAACACGGATGTGCCCAAGAAAGGGCCCTGTGGCTGTCTGCACACTCAGGAGGAGTAGGGTGCCTGTGTGCTTTTCCAGCTGTGCTCCTAGGAGCTTTGAACCCCACAGGCAGGGCACCAATAACTCAGCCTATCCCCTCCAGGCAGGATTTCCTCTGAAGAAAGGGTCCTACCAAAATAAAACGAGAAAGCCATTTATCAGAGGGCCTCCGGGCATGTCTTTAGCCCCTCGTTGAAATGATGAAATGACGGCATTGTGCCTGGAATTTACACCTTCTTGGCCCGCCCGAAGGCTTGCACAGGGTTTGTTATTGGAAGAGGGTCTCGTGGAAGTTGATCCTAGGCTCTTGGTGTCCTGAACAAAGAATCGAACAGAAAAATCAGAAAAAATAGCAAGAGTGAGATGTATTTAAAAGGAGTAACAGGAGTGAGGGAAAGAAGTGAGAGTGCACTCCGAGGGTGGGAGTCAGCCAGTGAGAAGAGCTCACGGCCTCCACAGGGGCTGGTCCTGGGCATCCAGGGGCCTGGTATTTTGGAGGGTTAAGGTCTTGGGGCTGCAGCTGTAGAGTCATGCACAGCCAGTGCCTGACCTGGCCCACCACCCGCTGGGAGGGGAACCTTTGACCGAAGGGTTTGGCTGACGGTCATGCTGTCCCAAGCCCACAGTGCCACAGTGCCAGAGAGGACGGGCCAACTCAGGCTGGGGTCGTGTACGTCTAGGTTGGACATGGCGGGAGATATCAGAGTGACCTTTTTCTGTTGGTTTCTGATATTTTGACACAGTCGTCTGGTCTGTCTGGTTTCTTGTGTGTTGTCCCGTGGGTTTCTGTTGTTTACTTGTCCTTGCTCTGTCTCCTCCCTCAGGTTCAGACCCCAAAGTGAGATTCCCAAGTCATTTCTGTCCAGCCATGGAGTTCATCTTAGGGTTGTTTAGTGCACCTGGTTTCATTTCATGAACTTTTGCTCAAAGCCAGTATGAAAATGACTTTGCACACAGTGCAGCAACAAGGGGCTGGGGAATCTCTGGGCCGTGTGTGAGGCAGGCACTGGACAGGGGAAGCACTGGCCATCTGACAGATAAGCATGGTGACTGCATCTGTCATTGACCTCTCTTGGCTGTGTCACCAGGCAGACTGTCCAGTTGCACCCTGTCACTAGTAGATGTCCATCAGCATATTTTCTCTTGAGTAGTTGGCATAGAGAAGAACTGTTCCCCGAGCAGTGACTCAGCTCAGAAGCCAGCCACATGGTGGCACCACGCGACCTATACTTACAGCAGTTTCCTGGGGTTCCCAGGCTGACCTCCCCGTAGAACATTCTCTCATGCCATCTCTTCCTATAAATACATTTGCATATGGCAGCAGGCAACTGCTGTGTCCAGTTTTGTGGCAGAGGGTACATTTGCCACTGCTTTTCCTAAACTCCAGAGGAGGAGCCCTTGAGGCTGTCCCCACTGTTCTGATTTAGACCAAGACTCTCTCCAAGGGCCTCAGGGGCTCAGAAGAGAGGCTTTGGGCAGATAAAGGTTAAGTCATGTCAGGGGAGTGTAAGTGACTTCCTGTTAGAATGTGGTCACTGGGGGCATGACCTGGAAGGGCTTCTCTCTCCAGGCTCCTACCTTCTCTCTGTTTCCTGGCCCCCCTGGTGTGAGCCACCTTGCTCCGCCTTACCCCATCTGCCACGCTGACCAGGGACTGTAGCTGTGAACCAAAGCAGAACTCTCTTCCTTGAGGTTGCATATGTTGGTGTTGTGTCCAGTGACGAGAAAAGTGACTAAGGCACCCACGTTGGAGGAGTGGAATAACTTCATGTGGTTGCTTTGGGTGGGATGTGGGGCGGGAGACCATACAAAGGGAGAGGAGAGACAGTAGGGGACGGACTCTTCCAGTGACTCCTCAGGACTGCTGGCCCTGCTTCTTGGATATGAGGCACCTTTGGCTGGCTCCCATGGTTCCCAGAGTCAGCAGCTTCATCTCTCAGGACAGCACAACTCAGTGCAGGTGGAGCCAGGTGGTGGGATGCTCCACGTACAGTACACGGGTGCACCAGTGCTGTGCTGAGCTTTGAACTTCCGGGTTCCTGAGAAATGCCTGCTGCTGGACTCTAGATGTTGAGATTAAGCTCAGTGCCAAGAATAGAAGATGAAACAGCTGAGCAAGCGCAGGCTGTGTGGCAAACACCTACGCCACAGCTGGGACTCGGGGACTCTGGGACATGAGCAGTGGAGGCATCCGTGTGGGCAACCAGCCCAAGCCAGGTTTTCGTCCCAGCACTGCCCCTTCCCCTCCATGTGACCTTGCTGAAGCTTCCATTTCCCCATCTGTAAGTCGGGGAAGTGATCCCAATGGCGTCTTTGCCTGGCTGAGTTCACCCTGTGGGGCTCAGCACAGCAGGGAGACACAGAACCCCCAAGTGTGCCCCAGACATCTGACACTCAAGGTGAAGGACCCCTGATGGGGAGGGGTGGGGTCGTCAAGATGCCCGCAGTCTCCTGCTGGCTGTGCCCCAAGCCAGCCCTGCTCCCCACATCTCCCTCGGGTGCCTTTCCAGATGGCCCTGGACCACTGGTGTGGGGGGACGCAGCTGTGCCCAGCAGCCTGGCCTACCTGTCCCACTGTCCCACTGCAGACGACCATTCTTCAGGGATTAGGGGTCACTGTTGTAAATCCCAAGAACTGTGGGCATCACGGAGGGTCAGAAACTAGGAAGGAAAATCATGCTGCTGGTTTCCCAATCTGTTTTGAACGAGTGAGCAGGATTCCTTCATGATGGGTGTGGGGTCACCCTGCAGTGGTTCTCAGCCTCATCCCAACTTAGTGACCTGTCCTTCCCTCCTTCCTTCCCTCCTTCCTTTCCTCCTTCCCTTTTTCCTTCCAACATGGACTTCATGTCTTTAGAGATTTTTGTCAGCCAACCTTCAACACACATGAAATATGTTTCTTTACCTTAAAAAATTAAAGACTGCTACTGATGATTTGATTTTACTCTCACTGTCTACCTTTCTGCTTTATATCAATTGCATTTTAAAAACAACTGTGCAGGTCATTTCCTGACAGAAACTTGTATGTTTAAAAAGCTCAGCAGTGGTCAGAAGTGGACTGGTGTTGTCCAGTTTATCTAAAGCCTGGAACAGGTTGTAAAATCAGAGATTCCGTCATTCTGTTTATTCCTGCAGTGTGGATGGAGGCTGGACTAGGAGGCCTTTTGGCAGGTGAAGGTCAGAGAAGTGTTCCTGAAACACTGTAGAAATTTCTCCCTCAAGCTTCCTTTTGTAGACAAGCACTGCACTTTGGACATTTGGAGAGCACTGTCTATTCCCTGGCTTTAGAATTCTACTCCTTGCCACTACTTCGGAGTGGTGTTATGTTTGCTTTCTATCTCTAGCAAGTAGCATGGAGCCTGATGAGCAGCAGCATTCAGCGGGTGCTCACGAGGGGCTCTGAGGAAGGAGCCGCTTCCTCGGTCCTCACAGAGACGCTGTCTGAGGGAGAGTCC